AGAACACACCAAAGACGGAAATGTGAGGCGACGGCCTCAATATTGAAAAAAAAAACATTTGCACGTCACGAGTCAAGTTAAAAAGGCAACGAAAATTATATACAATACAGTAAATAAGATACAAGGAGGTCAACATTTCTTTCTTCTAGTTTTAAGATGTTTGGATGCTGTGAAAACGCTGGAAATGAGACGATCTGGTCTCTGGACGATGTTCCACATATGGCGGCACTTGTTTCGAGGGATCCTCGTACAGCTTCTTGTCGAACATTTCCCGCCATTTCGGACCCAAGGGGTATTCATAGTTGATCAGAGATGATCCGATCATTTCCACGCTGTACCCTGGGGCCTACGAGGATAAATAGTGTCATCGATGATCATTAAAAGACAAGGAATCGAAGAATTGCTTTCACATTAAGCTTCACGAGCCTTTTTTTGAACTTCCGCATCTCTTCTGGAAAAATATTTTAAGCTCACAAGCTGTAATGCCGACAATAAATATTTAAAAAAAAGTTGGAGCAGAAAAAAAAATCTATCTGGAGATCTCAATTCATAACTTGTGTTTATAATTGAAAAAATGTGAAGTTATGCTTATCTCAATTCATTTTGAACAAATTTTAGATTTCGAAGTGAGGACACAACATAAGGACAATTCGACTCACGAAAACTTAAGCTAAAAAACATATTTGGACCACGTATACGGAAATTTCCCCAAAAATTCTAGAAAGTGGTAAAAATTGAATTTATTAAAATCGTGATAGCTCTTGAAAAATTTGCGCTACTTCTTTTCACAAAAATTGAAGATGATCTGATTGTTTTTGATAAAGTCACTAAAATTTATAATCATTCAGCGAGGCTAAATTTTCCCTTTTTCATCGGTTTTCCATCATTCTGCATAAAAAAATAAAATAATAATGTTTTTGTTTTGTATTCATTAATTTGAGCTACTGTACAGTATATTCAAAAAACTCAAAATAAATCTTATAAGTTTACTCCACTTGATAATCCGAAATAGGATAATTTTGTGTTTATCTTTTAAGGGTTTTTCCCATCATCAAGCTCCTTTCCACGCCAAAAAGCCACATTCTGCGTTACTTTCTTCTGCGCAGTTATTTTCTGCATCTCGAAGTTGAAAACAATTCTGAGGGGGGATTTTTTCAGATTTTTGAGCAACAGGAGAACCAATTAAATATGTTCCGATTGAAGTCCATGGAAAAACGTAATCTGACATGCGGACATTCCGACACGGGGACAAGGTCCAAGCACGAATTACGTCCACATCTCGAAGCCTCACTGAAGTACTGTAGAGTAATGTACTAACTTTTCAATAAAAGATGCAACGCGTTAGACGTGTCCCTAACATTAACAACTTCAACAAAACTGAGGCGGCAATGAGAGAAGTTACCATTGACACTGAAAAAGTTGGAGAACGGCTCAATAAAAAATGACTGACGACGTAACTGGACACTGACAAAGCGAACTTGACGCACATTTCTCGTTTACACTTGATCGTGAGGAGTGTCAAGAAAATTTAGACGGACAACAACAACGAAAAAATATTTCCAACAATGATTTTTTTTTTACGAAATTGCGCAAGTTATTCAGGATTCTCATCATATCACTCACATCAGGCACGATGTAGCAACCATGCTTGATTCTCGCGGGCTGAATGAAATGCTCGTGCAAGTGATCAGCGTACTCGGCAACCGAATGCTTCAAGTCGCCCGAGATGCAAATGAAGTTGAAGATGGCGAGATGTTGGATCATTTCACAGAGCCCGATCCCACCTGCATGGGGACACACAGGGACGCCAAACTTCTTCGCCATGAGCATCACGGCGATGTTCTCATTAATCCCGCCAACGCGGCAAGCATCAATTTGGCAATATTGCATCCCGCCAGACTTGAAGAGCTGCTTGAACATGACGCGGTTGTGGCAATGTTCTCCAGTGGCGACACCTATGCCAGTGTCTTTCAATGCCTAGAGTGAGAAGTTGAATCAAATGAATCGACTCTTCTTCGCTGGTCTGCGGGAAATTTCTTCAGAATATTGTGATTAAATTTATAAAAAGTACCTATGAAATCTGTGGTCTTCATCTAAAATGGTTTAATTTATCAGATGAAAATTCAAATATGGCTTTTCTCCAAATAACACTTCAGAAAAATGTGCACCTCCTAAAATGAATTAAAATATCTTCCTTTTGAGACCTTTCTTCAAACCCACCTTTCTAATTTTTGAAGACATTCCAATATAGCTGCTTCATTTCTTCTTGACTCAATTTTTGCAAAAGAAACAGAAACTTTTAAAATACCTGCCACTAAGTCTTTCAAAGAACACTTCTTTGAGTCTGCAAAAATTTCATGAAACTTTTCTGGTCCACAAAAAATTTTATGAAAATTTGTCACTCCGCAGGCCCAAAGAGGTTGGGGAACACTGATTAACCCATTCCCTTCTTGTTAATAAAAATGTCCCTAACTTGACAAAATACGTGTTCCTATCTTGAACATTTTTTTTCAAGTGACGCAGAACACTGATATTGATAAAATTGTATGATGTGGGCAAAAATTCGCTCAATTCAGAATTGCAATTTTAAAAATGCACGGAGTCTTGCTTTAACAATTTTCACACATCCTCCAGAGGTTCGGGGATTTAAGACTCGAAAAAGTCCATTTTAACGCTTGGACAAAATTCTTCAACCATCCCTTGGACATCCAACAAGGTCTCATCGAGGGAAAAACGCAGTGACTAAGAACCCAAGGTACAATTTTTTAAAGATAAAATCCTTTCCATTCATCATGCGAAATAACTCCGCAAAATTCGGACGAACCTGCGCGACTTTGGCGTGTCCGAGGATATCATCAGGAGAGGTTGGTTCTTCAATCCAAACTGGCTTGAACTCGGCCAGTTCCTTGACCCAATTGATGGCCTGATCGACCTCCCAAACCTGATTCGCGTCAATCATCTGACAAAACAGGAGATTTTTCATGAGAAACAAAAAGCTCAGCTGAGTTTCTGAATGAAACGCAAAATAAACTTACCAGTTGACGATTGTCTCCAATGATGCTCCTGACGAGCCTGAGTCTTTTCTTGTCCTTTTCTAAATCCTGCCCGACCTTGATCTTGAATTTGCTGAATCCGGCTTGCATGGAGATGAGCAGATTGTTCCGAATCTTGTCTTCGTCATACCCTATCCAACCTGTAATTTCGGGAAAGAGTGCGTTGAAAATAACGATGGATACCGCGAAGAAAGAAAATTATTTCGGAAGCTGAGATTTCAACGAACAGTACAAAAGAGTATTTTCGCACGTTTGGATAAAAAAATCAAGCAAAAGGATAATCTTGGGTCGTCCTCCACGTCAAAAAGCATTTTTCAAAATAATTGTCATACACCATGAAAACAGTGATTTTCACCAACATTTTGTTTTAGTGCATCAGTGATGCACTGAAAACTTATTTCAGTTTCAACATTAAAAAAAAATGATTTCTAGCAATGTCTCGAAACTACAGTACCAGCTCCCGAAAAACAGATGAAATTGAACATCATTTTGTGCAACAAGACGTTTCAAAAGCTTTTAAAATTGCACTAAAATTACTCAATGATCGAAATGTAGAACGAATCGGTGCACATTCTTCTCCTGAATTTCCGTTTTAAAAAAAATCAAACCTCTCTAAATCTACATAATACCAACTAAATTTTCTTAATTACATCTGGAAATTAAATTTCCTTTTTAAAAATATGCGCAAAAGGAATTCTAATTCTTTTACATGCTTCTCAAATCTTTAAAAAATTGATCTGGAACAATGCGTTGAAATAGTTCACAAAAATGGTTAAAATAATCGTGAAACTTTTTTGATCTGTAGAAATTTTCTCGTAGATCCCTAAAGAGGACTTCGAAAATCGGCGCCTACGTCATTAAAAACACGTTGAAAACAAAATTCCACGGACAGACAGCATTAAAAAGAAGATTTTTCATTAATTTAGTCAAGATTTCTCCCCACAACTAAAAACCTCGAAAATTATTTATGCAGGACACCAACCGCTAGACGTGGTGTAACAAGGGTATCCAGAGGAACGAATCTCCTCTTCTCTTTTATCTTTCCCTGGTACCATCGAACGTAGGATCTCCAAGGCTTCTTCCTTTGTCAGGGCATCTTCCCTGAAAATAAATAAAACCAGAAAAAACAAACTTTCGTAACGAGAAAGTCACACGCGTAAATCAAGCTCGTACAAGTAGGTGAAATCCACGCAAGAAACAAGTTCTTCTGGGGTCAGATCCGTGAGGAGTTTCCAGATGGGCTTGTTTTGAGTGCGACCCCAAAGGTCCCATACAGCATTGACGACAGCACTCGCAGCAAGATGCAGAACTCCTTTCTCTGGGCCCAGCTAATCAAAGATGGTATTTTTAATGCAGGGTAATTCACAATAGATGGAAAGAGGAGCGGAATACGTTCTACAAATTCGATTTACAGTACAGTATTTCCGCTTCCTTTCATTAATTTTTTCGTTTGTTTTCATTGAAGCTTGAAATCTTTTTCTGGAATGTCGGACAGGTGTCACTTGACCTGTCAATGAGACGAAAGCGTCTTGAAAAATTTTCTGTTTGAACCCATTTTCTGAGCAATATTTGAAAATCAGTGGATTGGCGAAATTTAATTCAAGAAAAAGCATTCTTCTCGTATTCCCAGAAGCTCAGAAATATACCAAGAAAGACTCATCTTTAAAAATGCTAAATCTTCAAAATAGTACTGTATCTAACAAATTTTCAAAAATGACATTTTCTTCTCGCAGTCCAACTGAAAGTTGAGGAAATACACGACAGTCATTTGAATTGATGTCCGTAATGATTCGCCCGATATACGGAAGCACGAGGGATCAAAATACAGTACCGTTATAATGAATATTCAATTAGGCGAATTATGAAATTCAAAATTACAGTACAGGGTTGAGATTTGCTTATGCTTATTCACTCCGAATGAAGTTAACCGATCCGTTGTTTATGTGATTTATTTTGGCGAACATAAGAAACACGCGTTATTAATTTTTTTCAAGTCAACGACTCTGTAGATATTGAAGAATAAAAAAAGGCGATTCCTCGATTTACATACAGAATAATGAGAATCTATAATGAAGCACTTTCATTTTTCTCTTTGCAAGACATACGAAACCAACCTCGGAAAATTTCAGGACTTTAGAAAAACCCTAAAAACCCATCAACATTCCAATTCACTCACTTCCTTCGAGCTTTCGCTTTCCAGAGCAACCGAAGGCAAGACCTGTGAATCTGCACATTACTTTTCACACATCTCGAACAACATATGACGAATAAATTATCTCGGAAACAATCCAACAAGGAACAATTGAAAATTGCTAACATTAATCACAATGCATTAAAAAAACATCACAACGACATAATCATAATGAATTACATCAAGATCAGGCCTCAGGTCACTCAAATCACGAACTATTTTTGACATCAATTATCTAATGAAATTGTATGAACCAACAAAACCAAGCCTAAAACAGCAAAACACCAGATCTAATCTAACATCCAAAATTACCTGCGCGATTTAAAATCACTAACTTGATACTGTATAACCCAACACACGTTATAACCACACTGAACACCCAAAATAACCCAACCGAACAACCTTTATAACCTAAATGAACACGTGACCGGATCTAAGAAAACCTAACCTAACACAATAAAGTACATATATTCCAACAACACCTAACCTAATATAATCAAAGAATACCTAACTTAACATTATCCAACAACATCTAATTTTTAATGTACTGTACTTCAACACCTGCCCAAATTTGACTGAAAACACAACCCAATCTCCTAAGAATTAAATACTGTAATTTAAAAAAGACAACCCAAACGAATAAAACACCAATCATAACCTATCGTATTTACGCAAGTACCACATGCCCTCACGTAAAACACGCACTGCGATTTTCCAGTTGAAAATGTGGATGAAACCCTACACCCGAGTAAGATGTGCACCCAATTTTTAGAATCTCTAAAAAGTAACCACAATATTTCAAAAATGAGAACACTCAAGTCTGAATTTCGACATGAATACATTAACTGTCTACAGTAATTTTCAACCGAAATAAATTTCATTGTTAAACTGGAACAAACATTCACCATTAGAAGCAATCATAATAGACATCTAAGTCTTCGAAACTTTTTGAAAAATGTGTACCCACCTATGACACACACACCCCATTCTTTCCTATCAAATTTGAGAAAATATTGTGGTACTCAAGTAAATACGGTAATTGAAGACAGTATATACCAACCCCAGCAAGTACCTATAAGATGTGCACCTCATTTTCAGCAACTCAAAAACCACAATATTTAAAAAAAATAGGAACACCCAAACCGGAATTTAGACATGGATTTGACTAATTTTTAAATTTTTCATACAGAAATAAGTTTATCTATTAAACTTGAACAACATAGAATATCTTACCGAACACCTAACCCAATCTAACGACACCTAACCTAAACTCGACAGTGCATTCCAACTCGGTTCCAGATTTACGACAGTACATTTTTGAACTCACCCAACGAAGTTGAGAGTCGTTTGTCAGACGACGCGAGAAGGCCCCAAAGTCCTTGACGATGGCCTCGAAATCTTGGCCGACCACGAGATGGGCCAACGATCGGATTGCCTGAACAACTGCATTTCGCGAAGCGTTAGATAAACCATTCTTTCGGCGCACGCGGCGCAATGAACAGCTTGCCTATTTCCGTCCCTCTTCCGATCGTGAAAGAAAGACCGAAACCCTTGGCTTCCGAGTCCGTGAAAAGCACGACATAGGCGCACGAATAATCCGGATCCACGTGCTGAAAGAAAGAAAATTCGATAACACCCAAAAATGTAGAAGGAAGTCGTTAACAACAGAGAAGAACTCCCTAGGCATATTTAAAATTTTGATACAAGTTTGCGGGGAAGGTTTGAAAATTTGCTCATACATTCAAATGATCAATTAATTCTTCTTCTCATCTAAAAAGAAATGGTCGTTTTAAAAATAAAAATAAAAATTCGAAAACACTCAAAATGTATAAGAAATTCGACAACAAAAAACTCCGCGGGCATCTTTAAAATGTCAATTTAATTTCGTGGGGAAGGTTTGAAAATGTGCTCATACATTCAAATGATCACCAATTAATGCTCCAACTCATTGTTAAAGAAATGGGTGTTTTAAAAATAAAAATCGAGAACACCCAAAATGAAGAAGAAATTCGACAACGAAAAAACTCCGGAGGCATTTTTACAATTTCGTGGGGAAGGTCTGAAAATGCGCACACATTTATCATCAATTATTTCTTCAATTCGTCATTGAACAAACATACCTGCGCGTCAGATCCGTCGAGTCGTAGTGACGTGGGGAACCGAATATCCCGAACACTGATTCCCCTGATTCGCATGTTGAATCCTGTCTACGTCAAATACATGTACTGAAGAAAAGGGAAGAAAAAATAACAATCAGTTAAAAAGCACGAGAAATCCCGTTTTTTGTTTCGTGTTCCGAAGTAATCACTCGTAGGTTTTTTTTCCTTACAATTGTTTTGCTTCCGTCATCTCCAGCCCTGAGCGCTTCCGACAATGTTTTCTACTCCCGAGAATCCCGACGACGAATTTTATAAGCCGAGTGCATCACGAACGCGTACGAATAAAGCTTTAGCTCAGATTAATCCACAATTCTTCAATTTTACATAGCTCGTTATGAATCAGAAAAAAATTTCAAGGAAAACTCCTCGTACATCCGAAGTTCTCTCCAGAAAAAAAAATTCCCAATTAAGGAATCAAACCTGCTGACAGGAGACATTTTCAATTTCAGAAGAGAACCCAATCAAAAAATGGAGCATTGCAATGCAGTGTCATTACAAGGAACACATTCAAATCCATCTTTTGAAAAATTTTTCAAGCATTGCTCCAGAGTTTCTTCGAATCTTGCCAAACATGGATTACATACCGAACGATTAAGATTACTCAAGATGATCATGACGGGTAAAATTACTTTACTGTAATGGGAGATTTCTTCACCAAGAAGGCACAAGTTCCATACACGGATGGAATACGGTATTCCTTTTTTGTCACAAAAATCGAAGATTCAAACGCCTAGCACACTTATTCTTACGCTATTTGTTAGACTTCTTCGCCACTAATTTCACGGGTTCAACGTTCACCCTAAAATCGCAAAAGTTTTGAAAACTTTTGCGCTTTTTGTAAAAACAAGGGACACCAAAAAGCAAAAAAAAAAAAAGTTCGCCACATCCCGACATTGGAAAAACTATTCCTGAAAGACCATCAGGAAAACGCATAACCTCGTGGCAGAGTTTCTTCGCTTTTTTATGGAAATATTAATGGATATCTGTGACTCAACACTAAGATCTCCTTCAGAATGGAAATTAAGTCTGACGGAACTTCTCAAATTAAAAATTATTCGATTACTATAAATCATTACACTATAAGAATGCAGATTATTTTTCTCACTTGGAACGTTTAAAGATAAAACGCTTCAGATTTTAACATACGGTATGCACTTGATTTTTTCGTTTCACCAAATGTCGCCTGAATAGAAGTTGAATAAATTTAAACCAACAGAAATTGAACAAAAAAAACTTGCAAGATATTAAGGGCCAGCAATCTTACACAAGAGATGTTACAGAGGACCCCAAAAGGTTTTCCTCCATCAAATTATATTCTAACCTGACAATATTCACTTACTCAAATTAATTTATGCTTTAAATATGGCATGATCTGTCGTAAATTCTGTAACCCAACAGCGTAAACAGCATTGCAACTTATTGTAAACGTGTTCATCAGCGTGCACGTAACTCCGGTTTTTCGTTTGTGTCATTCACTCGATAGCTTGTTCAGACAACATAAACCAGACCAACGTAACCAAAAAACCATCAGCCCTTAACTTCAAAGATACTTTTGTTGAAGGATGGTAATTGATAAAACAAGACCATGTTGCTTTGACTGTAATACATGAATATCAACACTGAAGCACTGGTGAACAATTAAAATTTATAGAAGCCTTCAGCAGATTCTAACAACCTAGGAATGTTCTTTGGGGGAATGAATATTAAATCCGTATCATCCACTAAACTTGGAAGAAAAAAGCGAAGATTGAAATACAGTATAATCTTGAAATTAATTTTATAGCCCATAATCCCACGAAGTCACGAAACAGCAAATATTTTGATGAAGATTGCTCACTTGCTGATCAAATGAAATATGTCGTAAAGTGAACTTTATTACAGGAATCGTGGCAGTAGATTAATGGATTAAACCTTACTAAACGTTAGGAAATTCGGGCAAGACCTATCTTATGAGAAGAAAAATCGCTAATCTGGGGATGTCGGACGTTAAGGAGAAAAAGAAAACACGGAAACCCGAATTAGCCATTTCAAAAAGGCCGAAAAAAAGTGGGGCACCAGAAAAGGGACAATTCAATTTTCCCGCATGCTCAAAATCAGTTCAACGGCAGCAGCAATATCTCCATGGGTGGCTTCGAGCGCCTGCAGGTTCTCGGCAGCGTTGAAGAACCCCAATTCCTCCAGGGTCCGAATTTGTCCTTCGCGCTCAGCTGTCACTCGCGGAGCGGCAGGTTCTGCCGGCGGCGGTGGTGGTGGCGGCTCTGCTGGCGAAGGTGAGGGCGATGTCGTCGGCGCCGCCGCCGCAGAAGCACCACCTTGGTTCGCCGTAGCCTGTACGAAATAAACTGGTCATTCGACAAAGCACTTTTTTTTTCACGAGACCACATAAAATTATCGCAATTTCCGAGTATTCTCTCTACATAAAAATCGGTCTAAAACAGCTTCACAAGTATTTCTTTCGTCCTAATTCATAGATTGCCACAAATTTTCCTCAACAAAAATCAGAAATTGGATTGAACACTCCATTTCATACAATGCAATCCAACGACCATGAATACAATTTCCAAGCTGAAGTTTAAACGTACAGAAATACGAAATCAAAATCGAGTACAGTAGTTCCACTTTTTTCTTTTTCAACCAATACGTCGCTAGCCTCGTTTATTACTTGTTTCTCCTTTCCATCTGAATCCTAATGAAAAAATTCCTTCCAGCGTAAAAAATAAAATAGTATAGCATCCAACTGGAATGGCGGATTTTCAGACATGAAAACCCAATCCTACAATTGATACTACAGTATAACGATTCTGAAAACTGTCAGTTCAAAGATTGCCGATTGGTTCACCTGGTCAATGGCGGCACGGAACATTTCTCGCGTCACCAGGGGCTGCGTGGGCAATGGGACGCGACGATGCTGCGGCGAGGGCGACCCTTCCGATGCGATGCGTCGCAGTGCCGCCGCCAGCTGCGCCGACGTCACAAACTGACGACTCAAAGAAGACGATGACGAGGACGTGGATGACGACGTCGGCGCCTGTGTCCGCTGTTGCCTCGACGAACTCGATCCGCTGCTTCGACTGTCGCTCTGACTCCGAGGTCTCCGTCTTCTCTGACCTCTTTGTTGTTGTTGCTGTTTGCACACGAACACCAAAACACGTGAAGATGAGTCGTTTTAAAAATTGCACACTTCTGTCGTTGGATTTGTGTTTGATGGACGCTATTTAAACTTGAGTGATGACTACCGGTATTTTTCTACCAAATTTTGGCTCACAGAGTTAACATAAAAAATTAGAGGAAAGGCGTCTATTTCATGAAATAAGGTCAACTTCTACAGCGTTGATAAATGTTTAAAATGGCAAAAAGCTATCACATACTCCAACTGATCAGCAGTACTGTACTAAAACTTGCGACGACTGCGCTCGACTTCTATTTCATCAAAAAGAAAAAATTCTGCCTCTGTATACCACATAATTTCAGCTTGAGCGCTTTCTTTCGAATTGATCAATAATTTGAGGCATTAAAATTTGAAATTCATACGGAGCGCTGGCATAATATTTTAGGATGTGCTTGAATTTTGATACCCTCGTTGACTTGGAGCTCTGAAAATTATTCGGTTCGGGGAAAGACACCCTGTCGATGGCATTTCTCGGATGGCGGGATTTCTAAGATAATCGAAATACATCATAATACAGTACAGTACTGTAAAAGCAGATTCTCCGTCTCTCCAAAACGATTTTCTCTGTACAAAGATTTTGTCTAGTACCATAATTTTTATTTTTTTTATTTTATAGGTTCCGTGAATTATTACAGGTGGACTCTCGTTCTTCGCATGACAAATTTTTTCAGGTCCCTTAAATCTTAAATGTCGATTTCATTCTAGGGCGAATTTTTTCTAGTCACCTAAATTTCTTTGTTTTATCTCCTTACGATGAATTTTGTTCTTACCCTAAATTTCGTTGTATAGAGAGCTTGCCTGTGGTAATTGACAGAACCAATAAAATTAGCCTTTCCTATGAGGAAAAAGCTTTTTCACCTGTTGCTGAGGAGACGGTCTCCCGCGGGATGACCTGGGTCTTGCACCAGTCCCAGCTCCCGCCGACGAACCCCCACCACCACTACTGCTACTTGGCAAAGCTGAATCGTCTTCCCCTGCAGCAGCACGACCATCTCCTCCACTGGCTCCAGCAGCAGTGGCAGAAGCCGTCGCTGCTCCACTGCCATCCTCAGCGTCTTCTTCTTCCTCGTCCTCATCTTCGTCTTCCATAAGTGCACTTTGGAAATCCTCGTCATCGTCCAAAGAGTCAAGGTCGAGACCGCTCTCGTCCCGACTCCCAGCTGCGCCAAGCACACTGTTGTGAGGATCACCATGCATCGATCCGCAAAGCAGCTCCAGTGCTTCGATCAAACAGTGGTGCTTTTTCCACAAAACCTAGGCATGGAGACGAAAATTATATTTAAAAAAATAGTACCCCGGGTAATGGACGCATTGCATAAAGGGATGTTTTTGATCACCGGACACGGGCTAACACCGAATCTAGCTGCAAATAGCGGATAAAAGATTCAGTGAAACGATACAGTATTCCGAATGGACCAGAATACCGTATAAAATGTATACATTCAATATCTACCAGCCTCACACGTGGACAAAACATCCGTGGTTACTCGACAGACGATCAGACGACTTACGCGATTCAGAAATGTTTCAAATATTTTTTTCCTCGGACCGAACACAACCTAGTTTCCCACAGCAGAGATTCATCGCCAAAAACGGAGTACAGTACAGTACAGTAATTTATTAGCCTTTTCCAAAATTTCTCCCCATTTTCTAAAGTAATGTAATTTTTCATTTATTGGCAATGTATTAAAAAAGACTATTGCACATCAGGAATGATTGGCATAATCAATAACTACTTTCAAATGATCAATTCAGATGCCAAAAAATCGGGGCTAGTTGAGATCACCAGAGAAAAAGGGAGGACGTTTCAAGAGACGAAAAAGCGATTGAATAAAAGAATTGAAATGGGAGACATGGGCGCTTTCAAAAATACCCTTCGATACTCTAAACACGCCTCACGAACAGAATGAATACTTTACTTTGCAAGCTTCAAGTCCAGACGCAGCAAAAAGAAGTAACGGATCGCTCATTAAGGCAATAGCAGTACGGTCCTCGGCAAGTCCCGGAGTCGCAGCAACGATATTGTCCACCTTGTCTCCACGCAGAATTTGTGCCCACGAACAACGGTTGAACCTCGGATACACCAAAGCCACTTGCAAGGCCAACACGAGTCGCGATATGCGTTCATTGTCCACTGGCGGAGCCGGCGTTTTGAAATCTGTCGGTTGCGCTCCCGAAACGTGCATCACGTGAACGGTGGAGTTGTTCTCCAATCCAACCCCATCCACTGTGTCTTCGTCATCCAGCGTTTGACCACGATACAAGACCTGGAACCTGTCCTTCGCCACCTTCAAATAATCCGCGATGTTCTCGCGTAGTTTCTTTATCGCGTTGTCCACGCGAGTAGGCATGATCATGAAGTGGGTCTCAACCGGTGTTTGTTCTCCAGCCCAAGCTTTCCACGCATCCGGGCCCGGTGTAAAGTCCGCTTCACCATTACTGTTGCTTTGAGACTCATCCATCGAAGCACTTTTACTCAGAACATTATCGTCCGCGCGAGGACGAACGCGGATACGAAGCAACAGCTCGTCCACCATTGTCCGAAATTTCACGAACGACACAACAACGACATCCTCACTGTAAAGAAACGCACAATGATAAAATTGTCACCAACGCAGCTGCTTACACTTGATCGAAGTACGAATCCCTGCGATACAGTGAGAGATACCAATCTCGAACACAACTTTATCACGCTATCTCTCCCGCAGATCTACAAGGACGCGACCCTAACGCCAACCGGGAAAAACATCCGCCGGAAAGGGCAACGGCATCTAACGGACCCCGCCGCCGAAAAAGACAACGAAACCTAACGGAACCGAGGTCACACACACGGACACATAAGGACGACCCCAAACGGAAGACTTCACTTCAGTCCAAACTTCTGCACCGACCACGTCTCCTTGCCGCTCCGTGTATCTTGTGTCTTGTGCATATAAAACCTTCTGTGTCCTCGTCCGAACCGACCGCCTACGACAAGAAAATATACTCTGCCCTTTTTACGTGTACATCATCTACAATTTCCGCACACTTACTGTTCATTCCACAGAATTCAGAGGGAAGTTAATTGCATGGTTCTTGAAGGGGCGATTACTTTGGTACGAACAATTCTACGGAAATCTAATTTCACAGGAGGCCGGTACAGACCAGGATGGCACACATTGTGTGCGAGGTTTATTATGAGGAGTTAAAACATGCTAAAAAAATTACTCTTCTATGAATGCAATTCGAAAATATGACAAAAACAATATTTTACCATGCCTTACCTCTCATAATAATCCGTGTATCTTGTGTCTTGTGCATATAAAACCTTCTGTGTCCTCGTCCGAACCGACCGCCTACGACAAGAAAATATACTCTGCCCTTTTTACGTGTACATCATCTACAATTTCCGCACACTTACTGGGGGCTCGTCCGCCAACCTACACCATCAGACCCGACCACGACCATCACCATGCCCAGGGATACGGAAACGTCCAAAGCCGCCGAACGGGCAGCCCTCGAGCTGGCTCAAGTCCAGGCAGCATGCGCAGCATCCCTCGGGCAACAGCCGGAACATCCCACCCCACCAACGGAGAACGCCGCATCCGAGTCGTCGCTGGGCAGGCCGCCCAGTGCAATCTCCTCCACCTCGACGCCGCATCCAACCCTGAAGTAGAGGAACTGCTGTGACGTCGCGAAGTGCCTCTGGATGCACCGGCTTGCGGGCGGTTGATGCCTCTTTGGCTCGATATAGTGTAACGAGCTTTTGGACTTGTAGAGCGGCCATTGGGTCCTAATGTTCCAGATGTCCCACGCAGATAATGCCACATCAGCCAGCCCTCCAGGGCCACGCATACCGCCACCGCCGTCGCGGTGCGTCCACGACCACCGCGCCCCAGACCTCCCGAAGCAGGACAGCGACGAGGATTTTGAGGACTACGCCATCCGTTTACGGGAACTCCTGATCATCGACAACGTCGATGACAACGACAAGGTCAGGTGCCTCATCCAAACCACCGCGCCCCAGACCTCCCGAAGCAGGACAGCGACGAGGATTTTGAGGACTACGCCATCCGTTTACGGGAACTCCACTAGTAGCTGTTGCAGCTACTGTTGCTGTTCCAGTCCACGGAGTAGGTGTTGTGGAGGGCGCTGCAGAGGTTGTGCCGGGCGGCGCGGATGCGGAGGCCGCGCGTGTGCAAGCTCCTGGAGCAGTTGGCGATCACCAGGTTCCACCCGACGCCGCAGTTCAAACGCCTCCGACGTTTCCGTCACCTGCAAATCAACACCAACGAGACGTACCGCTGTTTCGCCAAGCGGTTACAGGACGACTACCAGCTGTTTCTCCGTCTCGCCCCGGACGACGTCACACCGGACCACCTGTACGTCATGCACCCGATGCTCACCGAACAACTCCTCCAGGTGGCCAACGCCCGCATCGCCGACAAACTCCGTGCGAAGCTCAACACGAAACCGGACATCCAGTGGGACGAACTAGTGGACCTAGCCGACAGCATTCGCAACCTGCTCGACGAACAGTCCGACAGCTCCTCCACCGCAACGACGCCCACAAAAAATCGGCCGGACCGCCAAACCCGCACCACGCCGGGCGCCAAGCTGTACTGCGAATGGCACCGCTCCCAGGGGCACACCACGGAAACCTGCCGCGCACGTTTTCGGGAAACCAAACACCCGGCCTATACCAAGCGGGACCGCGACGACAAGGAGAAGACGGACACGGCCCCGGCCAGCACCGGCAATACCGCGGCCAGCAGCATTCTCCCGTGCGCCTCCTGTCAGAAGACGGGACACCACGCCAAAGAGTGCCCTCAACTGAAGGGAAACGGACGGAGGGAGCAGTAACGGCGGCACTCTGCTCTCTCACCACCGCAACCACCAGCAGCATTCTCCCGTGCGCCTCCTGTCAGAAGACGGGACACCACGCCAAAGAGTGCCCTCAACTGAAGGGAAACGGGCGGAGGGAGCAGTAACGGGCCGCGAGACGAGAGAGTGGTGGCGTTGGCTGCGGAGGCTGGGGTAGGAGGATGTTCACCGGCAGCCGGTGGTGGTCACGCTGCGGTACTAGCTGTGTCCGCGAAGTGTGAGTAAGCACCTTGCTGTCTGGGCCACAACACACGGCCTCCAGCTGCGCCCAACCGACGTCAACGTATCCACGGCCGACACATCAAACATCCGCATCACGGACATGGTCCAGGTCGACCTGCTAATCCACGACAAACCTTACCCCACCACCCTATAGCTTCACGGAGACCTACGTGGCCGAACGCCCGCCAACTACGGAGAAACCGAGCTATATCACATTGCTCGAAAACCTGAACATCTCGCCGGTAACCCTCCTAATGTTCCAGATGTCCCACGCAGATAACGCTACATCAGCCAGCCCTCCAGGGCCCCGCATACCGCCACCGCCGTCGCTGTGCGTCCATGACCACCGCGCCCCAGACCTCCCGAAGCAGGACAGCGACGAGGATTTTGAGGACTACGCCATCCGTTTGCGGGAACTCCTGATCATCGACAACGTCGATGACAACGACAAGGTCAGGTGCCTCATCCACAACACATCCCAAGACGTCTCCAACACGGCCTGCCGCGCCTACGCCTCCGGCGCACACACGTTCAAGGACCTCGTCAAGGCGATCACCAGGTTCCACCCGACGCCGCAGTTCAAACGCCTCCGACGCTTCCGTCACCTGCAAATCAACACCAACGAGACGTACCGCTGTTTCGCCAAGCGGTTACAGGACGACTACCAGCTGTTTCTCCATCTCGCCCCGGACGACGTCACACCGGACCATCTGTACGTCATGCACCCGATGCTCACCGAACAACTCCTCCAGGTGGCCGACGCCCGCATCGCCGACAAACTCCGTGCGAAGCTCAACACGAAACCGGACATCCAGTGGGACGAACTAGTGGACCTAGCCGACAGCATTCGCAACCTGCTCGATGAACAGTCCGACAGCACCTCCACCGCAACGACGCCCACAAAACATCGGCCGGACCGCCAAACCCGCACCACGCCGGGCGCCAAGCGGTACTGTGACTGGCACCGCTCCCAGGGGCACACCACGGAAACCTGCCGCGCACGTTTTCGGGAAACCAAACACCCGGCCTATACCAAGCGGGACCGCGACGACAAAGAGAAGACGGACACGGCCCCGGCCAGCACCGGCAATACCGCGGCCAGCAGCATTCTCCCGTGCGCCTCCTGTCAGAAGACGGGACACCACGCCAAAGAGTGCCCTCAACTGAAGGGAAACGGGCGGAGGGAGCAGTAACGGCGGCGCTCTGCTCTCTCACCACCGCAACCAACGCCTCCGACCCCATCCTCCTACAAGTGGCCGTCGGCCATCACCAGTGCGACGCCATGATCGACACAGGCGCTTCACACTCATTCGTGGAACGACACTGGGCCACGACACACGGCCTCCAGCTGCGCCCAACCGACGTCAACGTATCCACGGCCGACACATCAAACATCCGCATCACGGACATGGTCCAGGTCGACCTGCTAATCCACGACAAACCTTACCCCACCACCCAATGGGTCCTGCCACGCGCCGCGCATCCCGTCATCATGGGACGGGACCTTTTGGGATGTCTGCCCATCACCATCGGACTCAACGGCAACCGCCTCTACGTCGGGTACAGATTCCACGCCAAACGCCGCGCCACCCCAAGCATGACACCCGGCGAAGGCATCACGTTCATCGATGGGACGGCCAACGAACGGGACGAAATCCGTCAAATTCTGGTACAACACCAGGATGCAGTGTTCCAGTGGTCGGGACGGCATGGCTGCCTCCCCGAATACACCGTCACCCTGGAGACAACGACCGCCGCCCCGCCTGCTTCACCGCCTTTTNAAATCCGTCAAATTCTGGTACAACGCCAGGATGCAGTGTTCCAGTGGTCGGGACGGCATGGCTGCCTCCCCGAATACACTGTCACCCTGGAGACAACGACCGCCGCCCCGCCTGCTTCACCGCCTTTCCGACAGGCACCCGATAAGTTGGCTCCGTTCAAGGAGATCATCGCCGACTACGTCGCCGCCGGGATCATCGAACCCGCCACGTCTCCGTACAACTCACCGGCATTTCTCACACCTAAGAAATCCGGCCGCGCCGACGCACCTGCAACCAAAAGATGGCGACTCGTTGAGGACTACAGAAAAATCAACACGCTGCTGGTTCCTGACAACTATCCAATGCCGATAAATGTCCTGGACCAGCTGCGCGACCCTGCGGCGTTGCGGATGAAGACGTGGCAGCTAGAGGTGTTGCGGAAGGTGGTAGACGGTTAACACGGTGTCCTGGCGGGGTTCTGGCGTAAGAGGTGGGGAGTGGGGCAGATGCAGTACGCGGTTCTCCCTTTTGGACTACGAAATGGGCCAGCCCTGTTTCAGCGGGCCATCAATTCGATCCTGCGCCCGCACCTCCTCACGAAGTGCCTGGCATACATCGACGATATAATCGTCTTCGGGGAAACGTTTGCCTCCGTCTGCCAGAACTTACAGGACGTACTCACCGCACTGGACGACGCCGGCGCATCAATCGACATCAACAAGTCCACGTTCCTGGCGCGCCACATCGAGTTCCTAGGGTTGATCATCGATCAAACGGGGGCCCGGCCGGCCCCCCACAACCTCGCCGCCGTCGAACAGTACCCGCGGCCCAACACCACGAAGGAGATGCAACGTTTCCTGGGCTTGGCCACGTACTTGCGGGCCCACATCCCCCTCAACTTCGCGACAGCAGAAAAAGTCCTGCGGAGCACCATCCCGGCCAAGCCGAGCACCACGCTGCGTTGGGATGCACCCGCCGACCAAGCCTTTCGGGATCTCAAACAGGCCATCGCACAGGCAGCACGCCTGGAGTGCTACGACGAAGCACAACCCATCGAAGTCCATACGGATGCATCCGCCACCAGCCTCGGGGCGGTGCTGGTCCAGATCCACCCCGACAACGGGCCCGCCGTCATCCAGTATGCCAGCCGGGTGCTCACCGACGCGGAGACCCGGTACACGAACACGGAACGCGAGCTCCTGGCCATGGTCTGGGCAGTGACGAAAAAATTCAGGCACTACCTGGAACATCGCGCATTCCGCATGATCACCGATCACCAGCCCCTCCTGGGCGAGCTCAAATCCTCCCGACTGATACGCCTGCACTCCTGGCCATGGTCTGGGCAGTGACGAAAAAATTCAGGCACTACCTGGAACATCGCGCATTCCGCATGATCACCGATCACCAGCCCCTCCTGGGCGAGCTCAAATCCTCCCGCCTGATACGCCTGCAGATGAAACTGGGCCAGTACCAGGGCGAGATAGAATACCGGCCCGGGGTACTACTCCAGGCACCCGACGCGCTTAGCCGAGTCTCGATCCTGACCGCGGACCTACGCACCACCGTCCACCCGGGCCAAACCCGCGAAGTTATCGAACGATACCACCAAGAGTTGGGTCATGCCAACTGGAAGAAGGTGCTACAAACCATCCGCGCGCGCTTCACATGGCCGCACATGCGACACACAATCTGGAAGCAACTCGTGGATTGCCCGGAGTGCTTTACATACAACGACAGCT